ATTCAAATTGACGTCCGCGGTCTGTAGTGATGGTTGAAGGGCAGCCGAAGTTTGCTACCCATCGTTCGACGAAGGTGCGAGCCACTGTTTCAGCAGTGATGTCCTTGATAGGTACTGCTTCTGGCCATCGAGTGAAACGGTCTACGCAGGTTAAGAGATAAGAGTATCCATTTGAATCTGGTAAAGGTCCTACCAAATCCAGATGAACATGGTCGAAACGAGCATCGGGAGTTTTAAACGAGCCTAAGGGACATTTGTTGTGTCTGATAACCTTAGATTTTTGGCAGCTTACACAGGAGCGTGCCCACTCCCTCACGTCTTTATTCATTCCAGGCCAGCAAAACCTTTCTGCTATAAGCTTGATGGTTGCACGAACACCTGGATGCGAAAGTTTGTGCAATGTGTTGAAGACATTGCGTCGATAATGTTTCGGCACGATTGGGCGATCCCTACCTGTAGATGTGTCACAAAGTAAGGTTTCCTTACCTGTTCCCATCTGTTTGATGCGTAGTTTAAGTGTTGTGGACGATAACTCGTGCTGAAGATCAGTGTCTTCTTTTTGAAGCTCGGCGAGTTTAAGAAGGTCGATTCCTTGGAAACTGTTCAAGGAAGTTATACGAGATAAAGCGTCTGCAACTACATTGTTTGCTCCAGAGATGTGTTGAATATCTGAAGTAAACTGCGAAATGTAGTCCAGTTGTCGAGACTCACGGGGAGAGTACTTGTCAGAAGGAGAGCTTAACGAGAAAGTGAGCGGTTTATGGTCCGTGAAAAGAGTGAATTCACGACCTTCGATGTAGTGTTGAAATGCCGTACAGCACAATACATAGCTAGGAGTTCCCTACCGAATGTGCTGTACCTCGATTCGGTGTCTAGCAACCGTCTAGAGAAAAATGCCAAGGGTTGCCAGGAGTTGTTAACCCATTGTTGTAAGACTCCTCCGATTGCCGAGTCGGATGCGTCTACTGCGATGCTAATGGGTGCTCGGGTGTCCTGATGTGCGAGCATTGTTGCTTTAGCAATCAGTTCCTTAACTGTGGAGAATGCTTTTCGTGCGGTGTCGTCCAAATTAATGGATTTCGCATTTCCACGAAGTTGGTCGGTTAGAGGTTTCATGAGTAATGCGCATTTCGGTATGAAACGTCTATAGAAACTTACCAGGCCGTTAAACGTGCGTAATTGCTTGACGGTGGTCGGTTCTGGGTAATCCAGAATGGCCGCCACTTTGGTCCTAAGAGGTCGAATGCCTTGAGCATCGATAGTGTGTCCTAGGAAGTCTAACGAGTCGGTTCCGAATTGGCATTTCTGAACGTTTACAGTTATGCCATGTTTTTGAAGTCGTTCGAAAACAAGATCCAGATGCTTGAGATGTGTTTCTCTGTCCGGACTTGCGATTAGACAGTCATCAACATACGCGTGTACGAAGTTGAGACCTCGAAAAACGTCGTCTATGAATCTTTGGAATGTTTGAGCAGCATTCCTTAGACCGAAAGGCATACGCAAAAATTCATAGAGTCCGAAAGGAGTTATGATAGCTGTTTTCGGTATGTCGTCAGTAGCCATAGGGATTTGGTTATACGCTTTGACCAAGTCGATTTTCGAAAAGACAGTTGTACCTTTCAAGGTAGCTGTCAAATCGTGAATGTGAGGCAACGGGTAACGATCGGGAATGGTTTTCGCGTTCAATCGCCGATAGTCACCAGTTGGACGCCAATCGTTGCTGTCCTTTTTAGGGACCATATGCAACGGAGATGCATATGGGCTACTTCACGGTCGTATGATCCCTAAGTCTATCATATGGTTCAACCCGTTTTTCGCTAACCTTAGCTTTTCGGGGGCTAGTCGTCGTGCTTTAGAGAATACAGGTGGTCCTGTAGTCGTGATGTGATGTGTAACATTGCTGGTTACACACGGTAGTTTCGTTTGAGTTTGTTGTATCTCAGGGTACTTATCGAGTAGTGGTTGATAGAGTGGGTCTATCATATGTTTAACTGTGACTGGGGATACTCTACAACCAGTAAAAGAAGTTACGCAAACGGACAAATTAGTGTTACCGTCTACTAGCTTCCGTTTGCGCGTGTCGATGATCAGATTGTGGTGTTGTAGAAGATCCATACCAATGATTGGCATAGAAACATCTGCAACAACGAAAATCCAGTGGATGGGTTTGCGTAAACCCACGTTAAGGTAAACGTACCTTTTGCCATACGTAGCGATCGGTTTTCCGTTTGCCGCCTGTAAGTTTAGGGTCGATTCGTGTAGTCGGTCGTTAGGAATCGCTGGGAGAACGCTAACTTCTGCGCCAGTGTCGACGAGGTAACGAACTCTCGTTGTCACATCTGTGACGAATAACAGACGGCTTTGTTCGCCGGCTACGGTTGCCGTTAACGCGTGCCGGCTTGGAAGTTTCCCGAATTGCTTTTCGAATCAGTCGGTTTCGTGTTGGGAAAATTGCAGGGTTTTCTGCAATTTCTGGAAAACTTTCCATACTGGTTATGATACCAGCACCAGTCGGGGTTATCTGTCTCTCGTGGTCTAGAGACAGATCGCTTACGAGAAATGCTTCTACGTGGTGTGCGCGATCTCTCACGGTCGTTACGAAGACTAAGATAACGCGTGAGTGTGTGACATAAGTCGTTTATATCATTCTGAGTCGTTTGAGGTTTTTCTTTGACTGAAAATACCTCGGTAGTAGATTTCGTAATTTCTAATATGCGGTCGGCAGATGCAGCTAGCTCGTCTAAGGCGTTGTTCTGGAACGAGACCAGAACTGATTGCACCTGTTGGGGAAGTTTTGACAAGAAGAGTTGTTTGAATAGGCCTTCGTCGAAAGTTCTTGGGCCTATAACCTCTCTCATCCGTTGCAACATGTCTGTCGCAGAACCGTGTTGCAGGTCGATATTGTTGAAGAGTTGATCTAACCTTGGTCGATCGGTTAGGTCTCCTCGTTTAAGAATCGAGCGTTTTAAGATTTCGTAAGGATCGGAAACATCACTAGTAAACATACTAGGTGTTACGTACCTGTTGAATTCGCGCGGTAGTGCCTTGACTACTGCGAGGAATTGTGCACGTGTGTCGATCACGCCGTGCTCGGAGAAGTCGGCTTCTGCGTAGCAAAACCAGGCTTCGATGTTGTCGGGCCAGAAAGGCATGAGTTGAAACGAAGGCGGGAACAAAGTCTTAAGCTTGAGTACTTTAGGTGTCTGTTCAGTCATGATGAAGTATGAAGTACGATAATGAACAAGGGGAAAATATATATATCCAGGAAAAAACACGAAAAAAAAATCACAATGTTTAAAAAAGTTAAAAAAAATAAGGCAATGATATATAAAAATCCCAAAAAGGAACAGACTCACAGTTGCAATTAGGTGTACCAGATCACGTCGGTTTCACCAATGATGATGTCACAGGTATTCAGTGTTTGACAACGCTTCTACCAGTAACACCTTCTAATATATTTCGTTCCCGCCCAGAGAAATCAAAAGACAGAGTCGAGGAGATCGGAAGAGTATATTTGGCGATGACCAATATATCGGAATTCTCTGATCTAATCTGGCTAGCGATTGCGGTTGATGTTGAGCACGGCGTTACCACACGTGATCTGGTGCGGATGACTGACCGAGCGCCTTCAGCTAGGTGAGTCCACTAAAACATATGGTCAGCATCCAATGTCGAAAACTTAGTGCTATTTATTTTGGGGATTTATTTACCGCTACAAAGTTATTCTTCCTAATCTTTATGAATGCGAATTCAGTGGATCTTTTGATTATAGAATAGATTGTTACTTTTTAACCGTAGCTTTAATTTTCTTACTTTTCTGTTATTTTCATGGACTATATCAACATTTTCTTGTTACTTATTCAACTAACAACATAGGGTATCAACGGGGTCACCTTAATAAGGGTTTACGGACTAGGTAATCTAAAAAGGACTTGGATTAAGACCGGAGCGGATTACTTAAGAAGGTACTCTGATCTCCGAATGAAAAGAAATTAACCCCACAAAATGGACATAAAAATGAGATGAAGAATGTCCAGAATGACATATTGCCCTCCGATCATACAAAAGATGATAAAGTTGATAAACGACTAAAACTAAGACTACATGTCAGTGTAAAAAACCTGTGGCAAGCCCATTTGGCCACTGTATCATCTGTCTATTCATTGTAACTTAGACTCGTAATTCACTATGTTAATTTCGGTGGGTATGATCGAATGCATGTCTGTACATTAACTTTTAAACTATTTTCCTATTGGTTTCAACGTGCAGATAATCGATAGTCTATCCACACCTGATTAACCCTCAAAAATATATATGGATTTTTAACAAACTCACTCTCTCTGTTCCCATCGTGTGCTTGCTCACAATACGCTTGTGGATTATCATTATTCATTAATAATAAACTATCTCCATAACTGGTGTTCAGGCTTCTTAATAATCTCGAGTAAATCCGTAATTCTACTAGGAGATTAAGCCTATCTTAAATACTCAGTTACGGAATATCATTATTTGGAGTCAGATATTAAGGACCTTATCCATAACATATTGGTGACCCGCCTTTAGAACGCGCACCATTTTCCTCCAAAGTCTGCTGCATTCTCCTCAAGAGTATCATAAAGAACTTCATATTGGAATTATTATTATAATTAATAACAATCCATTGACAGTCATAATAAATTCACTCATAATATTTTCCCTTTGGAATTATTACTGTATATTCTCATACATATACCCAAAGTGACAATTTTTCTTTTCGGTGAGTCTTATATATATATTTTTGTTGTTATTTTTGATTTCTCTTCATATTGTATATTACAATCCTCAGCTTATTATTACTATTGCTTTTTCGTATCATGGCACTTGATAATTCGTTAAGCCTTTCATCTAAATCTATTTCCGTGGGTGCCATCTCTGTACCTTTACCCATTTTTAATCCACGAAAGGCTGAACTCTGGTTTGCTCGTTTGGAAAGCTTTTTTGTTGCAAACAAAATCACAAACCAGAGTACGAAATTTAGTTATGCGAATTCACTGCTGCCAGATGACGTCATTGAACAAGTGCCGGATGTCATTTTTAAGCCGGATCCTGACTCACCATTCGATTGTCTAAAAAGAGAGGTCATTCGTGTCACATCTCTCACCGACCAACAGACAATTGATCAACTTTTAGCCAACGTAGAGCTAGGTGACAATACACCGTCACAGTTAAAACGCCACATGACAAACTTATTAGGAAATCGTACAGTAGACAAACGTCTACTATATCAATTGTGGCTCAGACGTCTCCCTCAAAACATTCAACAGATACTAGCAATTGGAGACGAAGACGTTGATTTTGATAGACTAGCAGACATAGCCGACAGAATTTACGAACGGTCCAAGACTCACCTTGTATCTCAAATCCAATCAAGCTCAGCTGACGAGATCGCCGAGTTACGACGATCAGTTGATACCCTTACGAAACAGATAGCTCAGATCCAATTATTGAATGCCTCCCACAGCAAGCGTAGAGGAACATCCACAAGCCGTAGACGACGTAGTCCAAGCACTACTAGACACAACATTTGCTGGTACCATAGAACATATGGCAAACAAGCTAGAAAATGTACTCCGCCTTGTAACTTTGCAAGCACACAGAAAAAGGAACGTCAAGACCGTAGGTTAATGACGACTGCACTCACTGACCACAACTTTCAAGACAGTCGTCTATTATATGTTACAGACAAAAGAACCGGCACACAGTTTTTAGTCGACACTGGGGCAGAGGTTAGTGTAGTACCACCTACTGCACTCGAGAAAAACACACCTGACCCCAAACTAAAACTACAAGCTGCAAACAGGTCTGACATCAAGACGTACGGAAAAAGGCGGTTGCAATTAAATTTCGATCCTAAATCTAATTTTTTCTGGAGTTTCATCATAGCGGACGTCCTCGTTCCTATAATCGGCATTGATTTTCTGCAATTCCACAAAATACTGGTAGATGTCAGAAATAGGAAACTTGTCCTTGCCGAACAGAGTAAGGAAATTAGAGGAATTATATCAAATGAGACTTCCATACATTTATTAGTTAAACCTCATCGTGAGAACGACAAATACGTCAATTTACTTAATCAGTTTCCAGATTTATTACGACCGAGTTTCAAACACGACAAACCGACGCATACCGTCGTACACCACATAAAGACAGAGGGTCCACCTGTGTTCGCACGTCCAAGACGCCTTGATCCCTCTCGTCTGGCTATTGCAAAGAACGAATTCAACAAAATGATTGAGTTGGGCATCATACGCCCCTCCGATAGTCCGTGGGCATCACCGCTTCATATGGTACCTAAGAAAAACTCTTCCGAAGTTAGACCATGCGGTGACTATAGAGCTCTCAACAGCCGGACCATACCAGATAGATATCCTCTCCCACATCTACATAACTTCACTCATAGCCTATCTGACGTGTCGATCTTTTCAAAAATTGATCTCGTCCGTGCTTACCATCACATTCCAATTCATCCAGACGATGTTCCTAAAACAGCCATTACTACCCCCTTTGGACTATACGAATTCGTCCGCATGCCTTTCGGATTAAGGAATGCTGCACAAAGTTTCCAGCGTTTTATTGACCAAGTGGTACGGGGCTTACCGTTTGTGTATGCTTACATAGATGACCTACTTATAGCAAGCAAAGATGAAAATGAACATCTAACTCATCTGAAAATGCTTTTTGAGAAGCTAAACGAGTATGGGTTAGCGGTCAATCCTGACAAATGTGAGTTCGGAAAACAATCCCTCACCTTTTTAGGTCACGTACTTGATAAGCAAGGCATTAAACCAGTTCCTGAGGAAACACAAGCTATCAAAAATTATCCTTTGCCTGATTCATTCAAGAAACTACGACGTTTCCTTGGGATGATAAACTTTTACAGACGTTTTATCCCTAAATGTGCAGACTTAGCAAAACCACTAACTGATTTATTAAGGGGACGAGCTAAATCATTAGCAATGACACCGCAAGCAATTCAAGCATTTGATCAGTTGAAAAGCGCTTTAAGCACAGAGGCATTACTCGCACGACGAAAGGTTGATGCACCTTTAGCAATAATGACCGACGCTTCTAACGTAGCAGTAGGTGCTGTACTTCAGCAACGTGTCAATGAACAATGGCGACCCCTTGCATTTTTCTCAAAAAAGCTCAACGCAACGCAAACGAAATATAGCACATTCGGTAGAGAACTGTTGGCTATCTACTTAGCCATCAAACACTTTCGCTACATGTTAGAAGGCAATTCTTTCACGATATATACTGATCACAAACCCCTAACTAAGTCCTTGATGCACAATCATGATAAATATAGTCCGCGCGAAATTCGTCAACTAGAATTCATTTCACAATTTGCAGCTGATATACGCTATATTAAAGGCAATGCAAACGAGGCAGCAGATGCACTATCGAGATTAAATATCAATACCTTCTCGATCCCTGATATAGACTATCAAGAAATGGCAAAGCATCAAAAGCTCGATACGGAGCTACAAAAACTTTTGCAATCTAAGGAAACGAAATTATTATTCCAAAACATCCTCATAAACAACAAGGACACCTTAACTTGTGATAACTCAACAGGTAAAACTCGCCCTTTTGTACCTTTCGGTATGAGGCGAAATATTTTTGAGAAAAAACAGACAACTGTAAAACCGTCTAAACCTGCAGCAGAGCAAGCACCATTCAAACTACCTGCAACAAGCAACACTTCAAATCGAAATTCAGCAGCAGCACAAACTACAACAAGATCAGGAAGGAGAGTACATTGGCCAGATAGGTATGTAGCAACCACCATATTTATCTAGACCAAATCCTGAGACTACTCTTATAACACATAAAAATCCTATTTTATTTTGATTACTATTTTTTTTATTGGCCCCACGGATCATCATTATGCTTACATTTTAACTTTATACATTTCATTAATGTTAAATATACACTTGTATATACATGATATGAAACGTTTCAACACACAAGCTGTTATTACAATTTTACGCTTACTCATCATATTGAGTTGTACTTTTATTTTAAAAACAGTTCCGTTCTTTATCTCTTTGTCGAACATAGATGTTAATCCAATTTTTTTTTGGTACATAAAAACATCAATGTTCTGGATGGGAGCTTATGTGGCAAGCCCATTTGGCCACTGTATCATCTGTCTATTCATTGTAACTTAGACTCGTAATTCACTATGTTAATTTCGGTGGGTATGATCGAATGCATGTCTGTACATTAACTTTTAAACTATTTTCCTATTGGTTTCAACGTGCAGATAATCGATAGTCTATCCACACCTGATTAACCCTCAAAAATATATATGGATTTTTTAACAAACTCACTCTCTCTGTTCCCATCGTGTGCTTGCTCACAATACGCTTGTGGATTATCATTATTCATTAATAATAAACTATCTCCATAACTGGTGTTCAGGCTTCTTAATAATCTCGAGTAAATCCGTAATTCTACTAGGAGATTAAGCCTACCTTAAATACTCAGTTACGGAATATTATTATTTGGAGTCAGATATTAAGGACATAACCCATAACAAACCCTTGGAATGTCGATTCCTGAATGGTAAGGCTATAGAAACCACTCGGTTTTAAAAGAACAAAAAGTAATTGATTGAATAATAACTGTCATATTGAACACTGATAATTTCACTGTGTTTTTAGTGCTGTAGCGGTAAATAAATCCCTAAAATAAATAGCCCTAAGTTTTCGACATTGGATGCTGACCATATGTTTTAGTGGACTCATCTAGCTGAAGGCGCTCGGTCATGCATCCGCACCAGATCACGTGTGGTAACGCCGTGCTCAACATCAACCGCAATCGCTAGCCAGATTAGATCAGAGAATTCCGATATATTGGTCATCGCCAAATATACTCTTCCGATCTCCTCGACTCTGTCTTTTGATTTCTCTGGGCGGGAACGAAATATATTAGAAGGTGTTACTGGTAGAAGCGTTGTCAAACACTGAATACCTGTGACATCATCAGTGCATTTGGTTTGCTCAAACTCTAGACATTTTGGTTATAACGTTGACCCCAGATATTTTTGGTTTCACTCTGCTGTTGGCTTGGTATTTTGGAAGCTTCACTCGGGAACCTGAAAATCGAAGGTTATTTGCGCAATTGTTATAGTTATCATTAAAACGCTATATTTGAGTTGATCACCTGTAATTTACGAATAAACTTTGGTACCTAAATTCGGATTTCCTGTTATTTGTGTTTTAAGTCACGATTAGGTCAATAAACTGTGTTTCAGCTTCATGACACAAGGCACTTTTGCCATCCATGGAACCTCTCTCCCGATTGTTTCTTCAAAGTGTAGTCTCAGGTTTTTAACCACAGAAAGCCTAGAAACCGATTCGGATTATACTGGGGATACTTCCAAGGTATATACAACTCTCCACTGAATGAGCAAATAAATTGGCGTGGTCATCCCAGCTTTGTTCTCAACACTATTTATAACATACTCGCGGCCTCACCTTGAAGTCCACATTGTTGTTGCGCTTTGTTTTTAAAGCGATATAAATCTCTCTTGCTAAGTACACAGTCTGGCAATCAAGTTGGTGACTCATCCAATACTTAAATCTTGCTAAGATAGACTTCGGTACCTGGGATTATCGTCTCTAAGCTTCATAAGAATAAGCGGTGATCTGATAATGTCATGCAGCATATTGAACATGTTAAGCCGCTCAGTGTGGTCATATTACAAGAATATCTTTGCTACATTGCTCGACTTAACCCTCGGATGATTGTACGTCAAAGAGCAGTCACCCAGGTGTGCTCTCTTATTTTATAATCAAGAGTTGGCTCCATTTAGAATGCTCTCCCAGACGAAGCAAACACAGTGTATAGCTTAAGGAGGGACATGTGTAGTGTGGCGTCGAGTCGCGGTTGACTATGACCACCAATACAGGAAGGCTACGTTCCAGTTACCAGGTTGGATCCATCCGTAGACCAAATATCAGAAGGAAATTAAAGGTTGTAGGAAGATTTATTCATTGGATATCTCGTGGTATCGAGAGAATACTGAGATCGTGCCAAAGCTTGCAAGCGTGACTACTGAGCGCACACGAGTTCGTGCAAGGCCACGGACAACGGGAGAATGTGTGTTTTTGGTACACTTAAACAAGCAGGTGCAGTAAAATAACCACTGGTACACACAATTGATTGGTCACTGGGTGGTGATCAATGTCATGCTTGTCTAGTCCTTATTAGTGCAGATCGAATGCTATCGATCATGTTGCAATGTGGCCACCAGCCTAGGTGACTCGACACTGCGGGCACAATGTATTGATATAATGTATTGATATAATAAGGACTAGACAAGCATGACATTGATCACCACCCAGTGATCAATCAATTGTGATTACATCTCAGTCCTACAGGAGGTTAGTCACGGCTCGGATAGCTCAGTAGTAACGTCTCTGACTGTGAAGCTGGGTGACACGAGATCGAATCCGCCAGGGAGCACCAGTTCCCTCAAGATTACAGGTACACCTTGCTGACGAGTGCCAAGTAGCACGAAATCCGGGTCCAGGGTTTCCTGTTGAATACCTCCAACTACCATCTAAACCACTGGTACAATTGGTTATAATAATAATTGTTTCCATTAAACCAACCGCATTCTTTTCATAAAAGTAGGACACTACAGAGCCTCCTGCTTTAAAGGGGTTAACCTTTCTCTGAGTGGCGGTTTCGAAACGACAAACTTCCGATTGTAGAACGAGATGGTTGACAAACAGGAAGCAGTATTTGATCCTCGGGTTTTCACTGAATGTCTTTTACATTGGACGGTACCAAGAGAAACGTGCTGTGTTTGCTAGTTTGTATCCGGAATCTGAGGATTGCGTTTGTAGGGGTCCGGACCAGAAAACGCTGCAGACGTAGGACGGAACCACGTCGAGCCAAGAAACCAGAAGCAACCATATTAACCAAGTTCGAGACTATATGTATGCCAGACATATACGAAGCCAGAACCTCGGCTGAGTGCGTTGACAAGAGCGTGGGTGATCAGGACAGCTTTCGCCAAAGTTGATTGAAGTCAACGGTACCAAACGGGCAATGGTCGTAGGCGTAGGCTTAGGATACAAAAATACCGAAGAAAAAGAGAAAGATCTAGCATGCATGTAGTATAGGGATAGAGTCCAATACCGTATCCGTCGTTAATTAAGAGGTTAGTCGCGAAAGCGTGCAGGTAGGTGTGCTTGGTGACCGGAATATGAGACGGTATTCTCGTTCGTACCTCGTGAGACTGCGATCTCATCCGAGGTCAAGGACGGCGTGGTCTGCTGATCTGGACGTGGGACTGAAGTCTCGTCCTTAGATAGTGCAGATGACGCGTGCTGTTGACCAGGATGTGAGAATGAGGTCTGTGATGTATCTAGCGAGAGGTCCAAATTTGGTGTAGGGATCCCGCTAGCAGGTTTGATGGGTCTAGCATTGAGTCTCAGCTTATCAGACAGGGCACTGTCATCGACGTGTTCTGGTTTGAGACGATCAATACCGACTATCTCGACGCGGCCATGCCGATCAACTTTGAAGGTCTTTTCGTGACGGGAAATCACGTGAAAGGGTCCTTCTTAAAGCTGTTGCAAAGGTTTGCTTACCGAATCTACTCGTACGAAAACATCTGAACAGGTGGATAACTCTCGAGGGAGTGCGGTCTGTCAATATTGTATTCGAGTTGACACCAGAGACGGTGTTCGCATATATTCAGACAATCGTTGGACGTAGTCTGATTTGCCAAAATCGTTACTGCTCTGAGGTGTGAAGATTTCCCCAGGCATACGCAATATCGTGCCATGTACAAGTTTAGCGGCGGAACATTGAATATCTGCCATTAAGCTCGTTCTGATGCCTAAGAGGACGGGCGACAAGGTTTCGTACCAAATGTTGTTTTCGTGTGCTCGCAGAGCACTTTTAAGTTGGCGATGAAACCGTTCAACTGAACTATTTGGTGCTGGGTGGAAGGCGGTATACGCGTGCGTTCCATAGCAAGCAGCCGGGTCAGTGAGGAGAAAAATGCAAACTAGAATTGTTGTCCCCCGGTGACAGTCGAAGGACAGCCGTACAGCGCTATCCATCGTTCTACGAAGCGGTGAGCAACTGTCTCCGTCGTGATAGACGTGATGGGAATAGGTTCGGGCCATCCTGTGAAACGGTCGATGTGCGTGAGCGTGTGATCGTACCCGTGAGATGGTGGCAATGGTCCCACAACGTCTATATGAACGTGGTCGAAGCGAGCATCAGGCGTAGCGAAAGTGCCAATGGGGGCAGCTGTGTGCCTGTGCACTTTTGATAGTTGACATTCTAAGCACTGCTTTACCCACATACGGACATCTTCATTCATGGGAGGCCAGACATATCGTGCAGATATGAAGTGTAATGTGGCTGCGATACCTGGGTGAGATAATCCACTCAGGGCATCGAATACGAGACGGCGATAAGCAGAGGGTACAATGGGTCGAGGAAGACCGGTAGAAGTACCACACAGGATAGTACTTGAGTTAGGAGCTATGGGTACTTCCCATCACTGAAGAGATGTAGAATGTTGTGCTTCAGAACAGGAGGGATCGCTTGCCTGGGCGCCAGCCATAGCAGGAAGATCAAGCACTGGTAAAGTAACCGCCTTCATTTGGATACGTGACAGAGCATCGGCAATACAGTTCGACTTGCCTTTAACGTGACGAAGGTCTGCCGTGGGCTGAGAGATGTAGTCGAAATGTCTGCATTCTCGTGGTGAGTAGCGATCAAACTTGGTACGCAGAGCATACGTCAAAGGCTTGTGGTTGGTGATGAAGATGAAATAGCGACCTTCTACCACGTGCCGCAAATATTTAATGGCACAGTAGGCTGCTAGTAGTTCTCGACCAAATGCGCTTTATCTCGTCTCCGTGGGAGTGAGGCGTCGTGAGAGAGCTTCGAGAGGTTTCCAACTTCCGGATATGTTCTGTTGCATAACAGCTCCTATAGCAAAATCCGATGCATCAACCTCTATACTAAGCGTGGCTGATGGGCGAGGGGTGTAGCTTGAGCCAGAGCCATTTTGATCTCTGAAAATGCGGTACGCGCTGCCTCGTTCAATTCCAATTCGCTTGGATAACCATGAAGCAAGTGGGATAATGGTCGTGACCATTCTACCACGTATGGGGTGAAACGTTGGTATAAGTTGACCGAACAGAGAAATGCCTTAAGTTCTTTGAATGTGGGCGGTACAGTGTACTCCATTATTGCACGTACTTTGTCCTCTCAAGGTAAAATACCCGTTTGCTTAATAATGTGACCTCAGAATTCAATTTCCTGCTTGCGCTGTTCACACTTATTAGGGTTGACTATTATTCCAATATCCGAAAGGCGCTGGAATAGGAGTGTTAGATGTTGATAATGTTCATCTACTTTGGTGATGCGATGAGGA